AGTAATATTGCACGACCCTGTGTAAATATTTCAATTTCTTGAGGAACATTTCTGCACTTTCCTCTATCATTAGAGCTCATTTCGTATTTGCATATGTCTCTAATGACAATGCGTATATTGCATGCTATAGTTTGGGGCCAACCTGGTTACCTAGTGGTTAAGGAAGCTAGATCCCACATGCCCAACCATGATTGGAATCCCAGCCTTGCTACTGGAAAAACATACCAAGTAGTGTGTGAGTATGCATGCTTCATATCCTGACAGGGCGGAGAAATGGAGGAAAAAGGATTGCAGGGTGATCATCCACCACTGAAGAAGGCTTTCTCCCTCTCTCCTTTTCTCTTGGTCTCTCTGTCTCTTTCTACCAAGTGCATGTGCCCTCAGGCAGCTAAAAAAAATAAAAGTAAAAAGAAAAGTATATTACTTTTATTTTTCTTCTACCCCTACAACACACCCAACTGTGGTCTACTTTATGACAGGATCGTATCTTGTTAACTTGCCTGTCCCTTTCATAAATGTGGGATGGATGTATCAAGGTTGAGGATGAACAGGTGAAAGGGTTGATGGAAAACAGACTCTGGGAAACACTGAATCTAGAATAAATGCACAATTTAAAAAAGCATTGACATTTTCAACAAGACAAGAAACTTCTAGATGTGTAATACTTTGGAAGAGTTGCTGATGGTTGCTGATTATTCTAGATAACTTTCACTTCGGAGACTTCACAGATTGTTCTAGATGACTTTCACTTCAGAGACTTCACAGAAATATAAGAAGAGGCAGGTTATAAACATGCTTCTCATTGCTGTTTGATTTTTAATCGATGGTATTTGCTATCTGAGCCCCAGTTCCTTACATGTGAACTGCCTCATTGGTAAATGTTCACTTGTTATAAGAAATGTCCTGCAAGTCATTGGGAAGGCCAAGAGTTGCTGCTTGTGTCTAGCGATTGGTGGCTACGAACCCTGTGAAATCAGTCTGTGCAACTCCCCGTGAACCCTACAGTGAGGGTTGTTACACTTTTTCTCAGCCATTGAAGCAGTGACCCTGGTGGTATTTCCCAAACAACCCCATGTACCTCCTTGACTGGTGATAAACTGCATGATGGGTTTACTCACTCTGAAGTATTACTGTTTATGCCATCAGGAATTTTATTATAAAGGAGGTTAATTTTGGAACATAATCCAAAACACCTTTAGCTTGTCAAATACCAAAAAGACTTTCTTCTAACCTGTTCCTCTTTCTAAAGACAAATTCATATTCAAGGCCAGTATTATAGCACATCTTTAGTCTTCTTACCTCCTTTTAAAATTTTTTCCTTTATTAATTTCATGAAACTCAAACCATGGTCAGCCATGTGGGCATCCAGGACCTTAACCACCACACCACCTGCTGGTCCCAGGGGAACCTTGACAGGGCCTCCATCCATCGTTACCCCCCCACCCTCCCCCCCACACACACACCCCAAGCTTTAGACCAGGCAAGATCAGAGGCACACAGATGGCTTCAGCATTGTGTAACAATGCCCTATCACCTGTGCCACCGATGCTGGGCCAGCATCTTACTATTGTTCTTTCTTCGATGATAAGGAGCACCAAGTAGTCTGCCCTCTCATCCCTTGCATTTTCTTTCATATGCTGCTTGTCTCTTTGGAATGTCCTTACCCTGCCTGTGTTTCACTTGGCAAAAGTGCCTTTCTTATGTTAATCAGTTGTTCCTATTTATTCAACAAATAATTATTGTATGTTTCAGACACCGTCTGGGATTTGGAGATAATTTCTAGACAGAAGTTTAGCCTTTCATTCATGAAGCTTAGATTTTTGAAGGGAAGATAAGGATTAAATTGATAGTTATACTAATAAATATGTAATTATAAGCTTAGACAAAGAGAATAAGGAAAAGCAAAGGATGCACTGGAAAGTTATTGCAATAGGACTTCCTTCCTCCCAGTAATTATCGTATTATATAAATTGTGCAGCTCCCCAACTAGGCTGCAAGCTCCCTGAGGGAAGGGCCTTTGCAATTCTTGTTCTTTATATTTTTAGTGTTCACAAAGAATTTGGGGCCCAGACATTGATAAATGGATGTTCTTGAACTAACTGAATAACTTCTACTTATCAAATGTAGAAGTTGGTAGGGAGTTGGCTATCTTTTTTTCTTTTCTTTTCTTTTTTTTTTTGAGAGGTTTTTGCTATAGGGCTCTTGCGCTCGTCAGAAAGACAGAGACAGAGAGATAAAAAAAAAAAAAAACGAGAAATCACCCCCCCACACACCTAGGGGGGATGGCCATGCCACAATCCCTTCTCCTCCATTCTCCTCTTGGGATCTTGGGCACACACGCACATGCGCTCGGCGTGAGTTTAAGACACCGGGTCTGAGACTCAAACTGTGGTCGGCTACATGGGAGTTCAGCAATATAGCCATTACGCTAACTGCTGGTCCCAGGAGTTGACTGTATTAGGAAACATTTTGCTTAATGGCATACATGGACAGCCTACTGCATATGAGTATGTGGAAGGAAGTCCCATTTTGAGAGGAAGTGAATTAACTGATTTCTTAGGCCTATCCAACACTAAATAACATGATAGGTTAGTTACCTATGGTTATGTCCAATAGGAAGACCTTATCCTCTGTACTTCGCTGATATAATGTCTTGCACAATGATTCTACAAATAAGCATTTGTTATATGGGAATATAACAATACAGATGACTGATTTTTCTTTTTTAAGACTCTCATTGTTATCTTCAGAATAATCCAGAATACCCGTGGTCTCTGAGTGAACTCAAGTGGTGTGGTTTGGCAAACTCAATAATAGCTTGAGGACTCCATAGCTATTACTATCATTAACATTTCCTTTGTTAATTAAATTATTTCCTTGATCCCTGGACCTATTGCCTAATGGAATTGTATTTTAGATGATTTAAAATATTAAGAGCAAAAAGGAGGCAGATTATGATTTTCTGAGCAGACACTGAAGTCAAAACTAGATGGCATTTAATAAATCAATTTGTTTTCTTCCTCCTTCACTGCTTTCCTCACCATGGAAGCAAGGACTTCGCTTTCTGAAATTGACAAGAATTGACAACCCTTTGTTACAGCTTGAGATCCTGATTCTGTTCCAACATTTTCTGTCCTGATGCCCATAACATTCATCCTCCTTCTCTTCAAATAGTCCTTAAGACAATACACTTGCGACTTGCCATATTTGGGCATGGAAATGACTATTGCTTAGTAGAGGAAAAAATACTTTTCTGTGATTTTTGTTTTTACTTGTTATGGCTCTGAATTTTTCCTGCTTTGACATGACGGCTAAAATGTGCACAGCATTTTTGTGCCATCCGCAAACATATTTTCAGCATGCCTGTTTTCATGAAGAAAGTGAGGGAAGCATAAGCTTGGCACAGCACTAAGTATAGGGTGTGTACATGGAGACCATCTGTTCTGTATACACTCTGCTCTGCTGACATGCAGGAGTTTCCCACCCCCCCACACACACACCCCAAGCTTTAGACCAGGCAAGATCAGAGGCACACAGATGGCTTCAGCATTGTGTAACAATGCCCTATCACCTGTGCCACCGATGCTGGGCCAGCATCTTACTATTGTTCTTTCTTCGATGATAAGGAGCATATGAGTGTGCATTCAAGAGAGAGAAGACTCACCCCTGGCAAGATGTCTTTATGCTACAATCTCCTTTTCCCATTTCTCCAGCTCCTTAAGATTCCTGGGTTGGCAATTGTTTTCAGGCCAACCCGGGAATCTGAACCATGGTCAACCACATGGCTTCCAGCACTGTAATCTCACAGGCTACAGAAGAGTACTACACGTCTCTTGTTCTTTGATTTTAAAATCTTTATTGCTTTGGATTCACCAACATTACTATTGCCTCTGTCCCGAGTACTTTTTAAAGCTCAGTTTATACATTTCTGTGTCATCCTTTGTGGGTGGTGGTGGTGAGGGGAAGAACAGGAAAGGAGAGCGCCGATGAGCTAGAGGAGCACAAAGCGGCTATCCCTACTGCTGGAAAGCCTGGGGACTTTGGAACACTCTGTAGACATCAGGCTATAGGGCTCGAAGGCAGGAGAGGTAGCAGGGACACCACGTCATTTAGTTTCAGTTCCATTGTATTTATTTGGTCCCCATGAGCCTCATGGCCATTGCTAACAAGAGGGATAAAGGGGGGCACTGGACAGTGATACAGGGGTAAAACAGAATGCTCTGTGAGGTTGACCCACATGGAAAAGTTCCTCGTTGGTGTTCAGACACCTTCCTAAGTGCACCAGGCTTGTTCACGCCTATGATCCAGAACTCACTGGGGTTGGGGTGGATCATAACATGAGGGCCCTGTTGGGGGTAACTGTCATACTCTCTGTCTCTCTGTCTTTTTCTTTCTTGTTAAATAAATAAATAAACAAGCTTTAAAAAAAATAAACAAGCTTAAAAAAAAAAAAAGAGCAAAACAAAAATAGAAAATAAAAATAAATAAAAAGACATTTGGTGTAGAGCACATACCAAAAGGGAAACTGGGAACTTGGTGCGTTATTCAGGCTGGCCTTTGCATGCTAATGAAAATGAATCATCGTTCTAATACACGAAGGCCGCTTCTCCTGCAGCCTTTCTGGAGGAGCACTGCACCTGACCCTTTCTTTGAAGCATTTGGAAGTCTGAACACTCAATTTCTTGCCACTGCCGGCTTTTGAAAATTGGCCTCTCCCCTCCTTGGGATTTAGCCGCGGAGTCAGCAGTGACTCCACAAAGCCCCTTGCACGTTGGGGGTTTAAGGCCGAGGGTCGGGGCTGGATTTTTCAGGAGTAAGCGGAATCTTAATGCCCTCTCTGCAGACGGCGAGAGAGGAAATGAAAACACATACCTGAGCACATTAGCACATCGAGGGGCTCCTGTCTTGGAGTTGTGTTGAGCCATAGAGGGGTTGTCCACACTAATAACTGTGATCATACCCAGATTATTCAATGCCAATTTATTTACTTATTTTCCCCATCAAAAAGACAATGCATCACCAACAAGTCGCAGACCATTCTTTTCCTGTAAAGGTTGGGGTGCTCAATGTACATTCAGAGCCACACACGCGCGTGCGAAGAAGTCGCCCACCACAGCTATTAATCAGGAGTGTTTGTTGATTTGAGCAGAGGCCCTATGCTGTGAAATGAAAACAGAAAACCAAATTTTCTTGAGCAATCTTGCTGTTCCTGCTTCAGGTGCTAGGCCATTTCACTAAAGCAGCTCAGACGAGAATGTCATTAGTTCTTAAGCCCCAGGTGAATTTGCCACTGTTCCACATGATTAAGCCAGATAATTGTGTGTTGATAGCGAATGTGGTTGGTGAAATACAATTTCTAGGGCCTTCCTAAACAAACACAATGTAGGAGTGAGTCAGAGTGCTGTCATTTCAGTCCTTTGTCACAGGTTTTGCACGGGCAGGCATCTCTGGTGAGGGCTAGCGAGCAATTCAGGAGCGACGGCCATCCCCGGGCTCTTAAAGGTGACCTGGCTTAGCAAGGGAATCGCATCATCCTGCATTTGGTTAGGGAAGACACAAAAAGGACATCTCGTTAAAGTGTCACTGTTCAACGCCAACGCCTACTCGTGCCTTGTTTTGGGCCTGGAATGTAAATGATGGCTTTAAGTGTGTTTTTAAAAACATTCGTGATTTCAGCGATCCTTTCTGAAATGTATAAAAATACCGATGTCTCAGATGATAAAAACAACAACATCTGCCAATGACAAAATATAGTCAACTTTCAGGGCCAAGTTTTTGCATGTGTGTTTTCTTTTTCACATATAAGTTTCTGTGGACACAAAAATATGTATTTGTATGTACAGATCAGGTGTTTGCCTCATTTTTATATAACTATGACTTTTCCTGCACCAAAACATTGAGGGTTTTAAAGGTGATATTGTGAAGGTATAAAATGTTTCATTTGTTGGCGGTAGTGTTTGGCATAACGTGGGTGGTTTTATTTGTATTTTAAAGTAAATCTGCTTGGGCTAGCAGGTGGTATGATGATTAAGGTGCTGGACATGGTCAACTGTGGTTCAAGTCCTGGACCCGACAGCTTGCTTTCTCACTTTTCCTCTCTCTTTCATCTCTATCTGGTGAGTACACATGCCCTATAGCAAATTGAAAATAATCATAATAATAATAATACATATTTTAAAATAAAGTAAATCTACTTAACTTTTCAGAGGGATCACTTTTCCTATGAGTAAGCGTATTGTTTCACTTTCCTATCTCACCTGAAATGGAGGAGAGCTATGACAGTACCATATATTCTGATACTTTTTTTGTCTACAAAGAGTACAGTAGGTCCTCACAAAGGAAGATTTTCTTGGCTTTTGATTAAAATAATAATAACAAATAATAATAAGGTTGGGCTGGATGGAGCATAGCCTTAGCACTCAATGCTCTGCAAGGCAGCACCACATGGGAAGGTTCTTAGTTCAAGCCCGTAGACCTCCCTGAGCATGTTGGGTATCCATGTGCCCATGACCTGGGGCTGGCTGAGACTGGAGCTAGATTGCCCAAGACTCTGTTGTGAGGAC